GGGAAAGAGGAGACTCTCAGTTTTTGTGATTTCCTTTGTGATATATGTTTGTGAAGAATAAAGAATTTAAATGCAGAAAATTGTGCCTATACTGGTGTCATACAGTACTGCTGTGGTGCTGTAGCTATTTATGTTTGAGTTCCTAGAAAAGTTACAAAGGCAGATCTAGAGTACTTTGCTTTTTATAAAAAAAAGTATTCAGATAATCACCTGTATATTTTTCATATTTTAAGTATCTTTTCTTGAAGAGTACTAAGCATTAAGTTGTAAGCTGGATAAGTGGAAGACTGTTTTCACAGCTTTTGCACCAAATTAAAAAAAATATAAAAACTATTGTTTTTTTAAGTTATACTAGACAATGAGTACATAAAATATATCAGAGCAAAATGTCTTTAAGGCAGTGATAACAAAGTTTCTGTTTGTTTGTTTGTTTTTAATTATAGGTAAAATTATAAAATCTGTTCCAGGAAAGCTGATGAAAGAGGTAAGTCTTCCAGGTTGCCAACTTTTTAACTTCAATAACTAATTTTACATGCTTACTAACTTATAGGCTAGTCAAAAATTTGTTTGGAAACTCCATATTTTGTTTTCTTTCTATAATCATGTAAGTGACAGGTCACTCGTATCTTATTTCAGAAAGGTCAGCATTTGGAGCCATTCATCATGAATTTTATCAACTCCTGTGAATCTCCCAAGCCTAAACCAAGTCGGCCTGAACTTACCATTTTGAGTCCCACTTCTGAAAACAACAAGAAGGTATAGTGCATCATCTGCCTTCCCCACTTTACAGGAGTGGGGAAAATTGACCATACTCTGAAAATCCAAAGAATAAACAGAACCCCCCCCCCCCCCCAAATATAACAGCTTACGTATTTTGTGTTGTCTTCTTAAGCAAGAGAGAGGGTAGTAGTGCAGAGAGCTGAAGTCTGAATTACTGCAGGCAGTATTGTGAAGTTAGCTTACATGTGCACACACAAAATTAGTATCCTTCGTTTCAAGTCCCTTCTTACCTTGGACACTATTTCCAAGGTTAAGATATTTTGCTGTTACTGTCTATGCAGAGGAGTATAAATGTATCAGCAATTTTAAAAATCAGAAGTAGAGTGTTTGACTTGTGCCAGAAAGAGTACATGCATAAATACTTCAAATGTTTTTTGTTTGTTTTTTTTTTGTAAAACAGCTGACAGCCTACTACAGCATAGTATGAACAGTCATTTAACTTTTTACTGTGATCTGTCAAGAACCACTGAAGTTAGTAGTTTTAATACATTTAACATACTTAAAGCATGTGACCAGCAAGCTTTGCACTCTGAAGCGTTTCTGTGACAACAGGATTCTTTCTGTAGTTTGCTTGAAAAACTTTATTAAAGGATCAAAATTAATTCTTTAAAGTGGTGTTCAAAATCGTTTTGGATTGTAAAAGTTTAAAAAAAAAATGTATATAGTTTAAAAAAAGTACAAACTCGTTCTCTGAAGCATCAGTATGTTATTGTTGGTGAAAGAACATGTATACAGAAGTTCAGGCTCTGAAATGAGGTTTTTCCCAGTTCCTTTCAACCATGGAGATCCCAGGAAAGCAAAGAGCTGGCTGCATTTTGGCTTTCATTTTGGAATACTGAAGCTTCCTTAAACAAAACATAAATCTTTACTGCCTTCTGTTTTCTATTGTCATTTTCAGAACTAGTACTGTGGGGGAAAGCTCGTTTTCACCACTGACTAACTGTGCGTGCATGCAGTTCTTTGGAAGCACAAGTTTGTAGAGTCCTGAG